AGATAAACGCCGACGCTCGCGCGCTGTTCCCCTAGCGTAACTGGGGGCCGGCACGTTATCGCGTCGTCGTCGTCGTCGTGTATGCGCGCTGGTCGATATAATTAAATAAGTGTGCACCGATAAAATTGATGATTTATTTAAGACATTTACATTGATAAGTTTGAATAGAAAACAAATTAATATCTAAAAAGGTTGTCGAGGTGAATGCAATTAAATAAATGTGCACCGATAAAATTGATGATTTATTTAAAACATTTACATTGATAAGTTTGAATAGAAAACAAAATAATATCTAAAAAGGTTGTCGAGGTGAATACAATTAAATAAATGTGCACCGATAAAATTGATGATTTATTGAAAACATTTACAAAGTATTGACATCCGATATAAATTTGCTAAACACCACAACGTATTTCTTCTTCTTCTTCTTCTTCTATAGGGTATGTTCTAAATCCTTGTTTTTTTGGCCGCTGGTGGTGACGACGACGACGACGACGACGACGACGACGATGGAATAACTTCGTCGCAATATAAACTTATATTGTTCGAACGATTTGTTGATTGCGAACAATATTTTATATTACATATTGGATGATTTTTAATGGATTCTTCACAAAAGCAAAAAGATTTGTTACAGCTATTACAGTACTTGGTACCGTTATAGTAGTAGACTTTGGAGTTTTCCGAAACATCTTGTTTCACTTTTTTTTCGGTTGTTGTTGTTACGTAACGATCACTATTCATGGCTGCTGCTGCTTCGTACTTGACTAAACACTTTAACGCAAATTTTCAGTGACTCGACGTTAGAATGCTGTGAAAAAAAATTGTATTAAATTATGACTACAGAAAACAAATAGGTTCTTACCTTTTAATAATGTCTTATTTAAAATTGTTGAGTTTTGCTGCTTATGAAATTGAATTAATTAAAACAAAAATGATAAAACAAGTGAGTTTTTGCTGCTTATGAAATTGTATTAATTAAAACAAGTGAATATTTTTTTAACATAAAATTTAATTTGTTTTATATCCCCAAGGCAATGTATCAGTAAATATATAATTAACCACTCTCTTATCATCGAACGGTGTTAAAACAATTTTCCTTTGGTTTACCGTAAAAACTTCATGGTTTTTACTACGAAACAGATGTTCGTTGGTATACATTTGAGTTTTATCAAACAGACAATTATAATAGTCTTCAAAAGTGATTGTTTTTAATGACGAACCGGTAATACCTTTGGCTTTTTTAATAGTTTCGACTTCTTTTTTGTTAGAAGATTTTTCTCGTTCTACATTTGAATAATATAATTTGATCGCGTACATTTTAGATTTTAATCCGATAAATTCGTGCATAATTCTACCGTTGTTTTCGTCTTTCATCAATCCCAAAACTTTTTTATTAGCCAAAGGAATATTATAAATGTTATCGGGAGGATAATCAGAAGTGTCAAATTTATGAATATCTTCTCGAATACATTTATAAATATCGTCAACGTAAAAATTATATATTAACGAATCTGTATCTGAATACAAGAGTTTTACATCCTTGCCGAATTTTGGTATAATATAATGATAATGAAAATCGTATAAAAATGTTTTTGAAATTTCTAAAATACTAAAACCAGCGTAAATGGGTTTATTAAATTTAATATTCAATCTCTCCATTTCAATGATAACCATGTCATTGTCGAAAATTGTTAAGCTATGAAAATTTGGTTTTGAAATATAACTCTTTGCACCGTATCGTCCCGACCAACTTGTTACCAGTTTAACGTCTTTATATTTCCGAACGTTTTCCATAGTCTTGCCGAAAACGGCATTATTCATTAATTTAAAAAAATTTTTTTCGAATTCGTTTTTGCTTTGCTGCCTCAAGTGTGTGTTTAGGTCAATGTAGGTTTTCAACCACGGAGATTGGTTAAATTGTAATATTTTATGAATTTTTGTAACACGTAAACCTAACTGAAGAGCCTGTTTGAGATTTTTATAATGTATTACGTAGTTTTTTTTATCAAACAATGTTGTCAATAATTTCGGCTGTTTTGTTTGACCCGTTGGTGGAATCAAACGTTCCGGACATAGAGGTAGATCTTTGTGGATATCGTGAAGTATTGTAGGATATTCTATATCTACTTCAAGAAGATACCCAACGTCAGAATCGTCCGACGTGATGTATGATAGAATAAAATGCGTTATTATCGATCCATTGGAACCCACCCGTCGGTAGTGGTAGTCTCATTGCCGTTCCATATAGGTTATTTACATCGAAATACATTAAATATGATGAAGGAATGTCTGGATTATAATCGTTTTCCATGTATTTATTGTTAGCCTTACCGTATCGGTTACTGCATTGTGAAATTCCACCGCGTATTCCTTTTTCGATCATCATTAATTGATCGATGTCCGTAATTAATTCTAGTTGAACATTTGAAATGAGAAGACATGCATCGTATGCCAGACCCGGTGCCGTGTAATATTTCAAACATTCCAAGCCATACGTTTTTTGACATACATTTCTGAAATTTTCGAAAACGTCCGTCAATAATAGTACGTCTGTTTTCAAATACAATTCCATATATTCGCGTAAATTTTGAATTTTGAATGTTGTCCAAATATTTTTGGCATGCTCGTAATCTTTTATCGTAATACCGGATTTTCTAAGTTTACTATAGAAATTTTCAATCGGGGGCAATTCGACGTCGTTCAATTTTTCCCAATCATCTAGATATTCATACGGAAAGACTCCCTTTTTCTGTAACAACTGAAATTCTTCGAGATTTTCGCAAAAGCTTCTAGTAATGTTTTTTTCGCTAGGGTCTAAATAAGAACTTAACTTATCCAAACTACTAGCCATAAATCTGAATGAATCTAAAAATCGAAAATTAACGCTCGTGTTTTCGATATATTTTGTAAACGATATATATTTTTCTTTGTTACGAGGTAGTAATATTACCGAACCGGGAATTTCAGTTGCCAAGTTTTTAATAAAAAAGTGTAGATCGTATCCTAAGTTATGAAATACCACGGGTATCATATGATCGTCCTTGTAATTAAGATTGCAAGAAGAATGAGCAACTCCTCGATATTTTCCCGTGAAATGACAATGATCTTTTACTCTTAAATCATTTTCGGTAAATGGTTTTGAACAAATGTGACATGTGGTTGATGTATAAAATGATTCTTTTTCATGTTCAGTCAAAGGTGTCATTGAAACAGCATTGTTAAATATAGGATTTAATTGTAGGGCCAGTTCTTGTAATTGTCGACAAAACCAGCTCATACAATCTTTACCCGTATACAAGTTAAATTTGGAAAGATTATTATCGTAACTGCACAACAGATAATAAGAAATACTACAAGGAATATGTTTTTGATATTTTTTAATGTTTCCCGTCGCAGCGGAATCTTCGTATTTTTGTAAAATACACTCGATATCCGCGTAAATAACAAACGGTACTTTTTCTTTATTTTTAAAATGCGAAAATGTTACGTGTTTCTCTTGTTCAGTCGGGAGCGTAATTTTGGTTTTATTTAATTTTCTGCAACTAAATATGTGTTTATTTAAAGTTTGTTGTGAATAAAAATGATTTAAGCACCTATCGCAATAAAATCTGCTATGAGTCGAATCTCCGCTTTGTTTCGATAATAACCGTGATAAACTTCTAATTAATGCGAAATGAAAAACTGTCTCAAAATTGTTAATGTGATTAGAGAGATTATTGTTGTCGACGTCGTCGTCGTCGTCGTCGTAATCATTGGTTATATCGGTGGGAAGCATCAATAAATTAACCGTTCTTAAATAAGAGAATTGACTTAAACACGCCGGTACAATTTCCCGCTTTTCTAATGAGAAAACGTTTATGGAAATATTATTCATTTCTTCAAACTTTTTTATGTCTTTTAATTTGATTGGAAATTCAATGCCATCGTATTTTAAAACTTCACTGAAATGAGGATATGAATAGGTAATACGCGGATTTTGATTTGTACGACAAGGATGTAGCGCGGCAACGATAGACCAAAGAAAACAATATTCATCGTTATTTTGAATATTAAGAACAGCTTTTTTATTAATAATAAATTTTGGCATCGATACATAAGTTGAAAGACCGATATTTATCGGTGTATAATTATTAATGTTAACTTTTAATTGTAGAATCCGGTGAAGAGCCCAACCAGAATCCCTCTCTTGAAAATCCTCTAATTTTGTTAATATATTATTTTTAATATAATTACTATAAAATTCTTTCAAATCGGTATTATGATCGATGACGCGATTTTTGGTGGAAAAATGTTTTACATCGGTTTCGCCTGTTTGTGGTTTTACAAAATCTGCAAGAAATATTACGTTAACTTTAATTAGGGACTCCCGAAGGGCTTTTTTTATTTGACAAGAGAATGATCTAAACGCCTTGCTAAAAAATATTATAGGATCTTTAATATCTAAATTAACTATTGCTCCCGTTTTAATACGATTTTTAAAGCAAGACTCGTTATCAACCCAAATTAATTTTGCATTATTTTTTTTAACTGTTTTATGATGTTTGAATTGTTCTTTAAAATTTTTTAAAAGACTTAAATTTGATTCTATTTTTGCCACCGCTTTTCTGTCTGTCGACGATGACGATACACTTTTTAAATATTTTTTCAAAATTAAATTGTTTCTGTTCAGAAATTTTATCCACTTGCAATATTCATGTTTTGTTTTAATTAACTCACCAACTTCTTTAATTTTCAGCAGCGTTTTTTCACTCAACTCACTGATTTCAGACATTTTTACTTATACGCAGCAGACTTTTTTGTCTATTCTAATAGACGCGTATGTGATAAATAATATCACTTTGTAGAATTTTACCGCTTTTATCGGATAGCGGGGTTAGGGTCAAAACTATTATGTTTTGCGCAATTGATAAATATAACGTAATCGCTTTTAATATTATGAATGCACTGTGTTATTATCGTGCTGACGAAGTGGAAATTTTAGGATAGATAATAATTAAAAAAAATAAATGCATATAAATATATCGAACTCTACGACAAGGAATCATTGTACACAACGACTATGGACACTCCGTCAACATTAATTTTTGAGTCAACGGATCCCGCCAGACTTTCCAACAAGATGCTGGCGGTATTTTTAAAAAATTTATTCAGGTAAGTCTGTCACCTTCATTGTTTTGTTTTCCATAATTTACTAAAAATCTATCAAATTATCATAGGTATGGGAGGAAAGAAGTGAAGATTGTGAACAAGAGAGTTCACTTGTATTTGAAATATTCACCGAAGAATGAAACGGTTCAGGGAAAATTAAAAAATCTTCCCGTCCGATACCTGAGAGTGGCGGCCGATGACGAGGAAGAATTACAATTGTTATTGAAGGGGATGCGTGAATTCTCGGACGTCAATTTTTATGCGGCTGCCATAGAGGAGGACGAACCGGTACCGGCTAAAAAATTCAAGCCGGCTTCGGAAGAAGAGAAAATAAAAATTCTGGAAAACAGAATTTTAAAATCAGCCACCACTACGACGATGACGACGACTACCACCACTCCCAGTACCAGCAAAGTTGAAGATTTTTGCTTCGTTTTAGACGACGACGCGGAAGAGTTTGAAAGTCAAAAATTTAGTGTAGTTAGTAAATAAAAATATTAAAAAATATTCGAGTTATAACTTGTTTAATTTTTTCCATCACATGATAAAAATAATATTAATTGTTCTTATGGTTAAAGTTAATAAAACAACAAGTTTACTACGTTCTCTTCATAATCTGAATCAATTTCATCTATAATTGATTGTTTCATTTCACTCGGTGAATCGTAATTACTAATAGGAGTCGAATTAAATGATAACTGTCTAGGCAATATTTTTCGTTTCTTTTGAATTACTGATAGCGGTAAAGTTTGTTCTTCTGCTGCGGCGGCGGCGGCGGGCTCCTCCACTTTTACGGGAGGATGATACTTTGGAGTAGTTTGTGTTACATCACTTACTAGAGTCGTCTTCGTCGTCGTGGTTGCTGGCGTTGTTGTTCTTGTTGAATTTTGCAAAGAAGACTCGATATTTTTCAATCGTTTTGTAATAGGCTTAAACATTGTCTCTTGCATCATTTCACCACGTTTTAATTCTTCAAGTTTTTTTCTTATATCCTTACGTTTAGAAATTAATCGTTTTTAGTTAGTTAGTAAATAAAAATAATAAAAAAATATTCGAGTTATAACTTGTTTAATTTTTCCATCACATGATAAAAATCATTTTAATTGTTCTTATGGTTAAAGTTAATAAAACAACAAGTTCATTTTTTAAGATAATTTTTATTAATATACCAATTTCTCAGCAATAGTACATTTTCTTTGGCACAATTAGAGAAATTATAAAAGTGATTATTACAATGAAAATTATACTGGTTATTTTCTTTTAAACTTTTAAAATTTGGACATCCAATGTCATGTAAATCGACAATATCAATATCATTGTAATAAAGCAGTGATTTTAAATAGTTTACCTTACAACTGCCTTTAACATAGATATAGTTATTTTGTACAATGTTTCTAATAAAACTAACTACACTTTCTTGAGGTAGACAGGTCTCATCTTCTTTTTCATCCCAGGATAGTCCGTGGACACGATTCGTGGTCTTCAAAAGATGGTTTCTAATTTCACCTGTGAACCAGTTATACGGACAAGGTGTTTTCACCATTCTATGAAACACTTCTCCACTGGACACGTTTATAATTGCGATTTCTCTAACGATATAATCGCTCTGTTTATACTGAAATCCTTGAACGTCGAGGATAAACATTTTTTAAATGTTCTACGAGCACTACTAATTTGCAACTGAATCTTCCTCAAACCTACGCAACATTATTTATATCTATCCAACTATTGTGTTTGTTATCAAACCCCAACCACTTTACAAACACTTTATCGCGTTTCCTTTTGAGAATTTTTTCAACTAGATAAACGTCTGGAAACTTCACTTTTTGCAATTGTTCGTTGTAAAATCCACCGAGAATATTTTGATTATTTTCATCTTTTAATAAATACGTAGTGGGATTGGTTAGTTGAACTTTATCTACCGTAAAAATTTCCGTTGACCAATTTGGTTGGTATTTTTTATCGAAAACACCTCGCCTCTTCGATATTCGTACGCGATCGCCAATCTTAAATTTGGTATTAAGATTTGTCATTTTTATTCGATTAAACACCGTTTCCATTAGATTTTTTTCGTGCTTTTTTATAACATCGGCCGGTTTCATTTTAATTACGCTGTGATGTGTATTATTGTAGTTTCTAACAATTTCCGATAATATGTCGATCCATTTATAGTTTCCTCGTAGACTAAACTCTTTCCACATTATATTTTTTATGGTACGGTTCACTCTTTCCACTATAGCGGCCTTTTTCTCGCTAAATACATTATAATGATTGATATGATATTTTTTCATTAAATTTTGAAAGTCTTTGTTAAAAAATTCAGCTCCAGCGTCAGTTTGTAAATTTTTTGGTTTTTTGGTGGACTTTAAAATTGTTTCCATAGCTCTCGTCACTTCCGCTCCCGACTTATTTTTTACAGGTAGCGCCCAAACAAATTTAGAAAAACAATTTATTACAATTAGTATGTATTTGTATCCACGATTCTGTTTTGCGTACGGAATCATTTCGATAAGGTCAGCTTGAAACAGATCATATAAAGATTTAATTATAGTTTTTCTACGTTTAAAGTTTATACGAGCAGGTTTATGAAGTTCCTCGACAACTTGTCGCTTGGCATCCGTAATAAATTTCGACGGCTTCATTCTATAATATCGGCTTCGCGCAATTCTTCAATTAGCGAATTTATCTCATTTAAGTGACCCGTATGACCTGCAGACTGTGACGATACGAGTAGACGCAATCGCTCGACTAATTCATTTGGATCGTCCCAATAAATGTAATCTTTTTTATTGGGTGTCACTTCCATTGTTGTCATTAAACCCTTTCCCCCAGTTGTTGTTGGTGCAATAATATTTTTATATTTTTTCAGCTTACTTCCGTCAATTTGAGCATTGGGTTTATAATGTCTTTTGTGAGCGTTCGTTTTGTATACAATTTGTTTATAATTTTCCCTGTCTTGTTCGTTAAATAAACTATTGTTAGGATACTTTTTAAATAACAATTCGTATAAACCTTGAGTACCTCTGTACCGTTTACCTTGAACATAAATATCTGATCCTTGAATATCTACTTGTGAGTTACCAATAAAAAATTTTTCAGTACTTTTATCCATTCTAACGCCATACTTGTGATCAAACTCTCTATTTTCGGTATCTTCGTACATTTCTCGAATATATTTCCGTGGTAATGGATCGTATTGATCCAAATATTCAATAAAAGACACTGGTCCGATATCTTCAAATCGACTAGTAGATTCCTTGTCTACGTTTACTACGTTGTCTTCATAATCTGAATCAATTTCATCTATAATTGATTGTTTCATTTCACTCGGTGAATCGTAATTACTAATAGGAGTCGAATTAAATGATAACTGTCTAGGCAATATTTTTCGTTTCTTTTGAATTACTGATAGTGGTAAAGTTTGTTCTTCTGCTGTGGCGGCGGCTGCTGCTGCTGCGGCGGCGGCGGGCTCCTCCACTTTTACGGGAAGATGATACTTTGGAGTAGTTTGTGTTACATCACTTACTAGAGTCGTCTTCGTCGTCGTGGTTGCTGGCGTTGTTGTTCTTGTTGAATTTTGCAAAGAAGACTCGATATTTTTCAATCGTTTTGTAATAGGCTTAAACATTGTCTCTTGCATTATTTCACCACGTTTTAATTCTTCAAGTTTTTTTCTTATATCCTTACGTTTAGAAATTAATCGTTTTTTCAAAACTTTATCATTTTGTTGACTGATCATAGCGCTCGATATCACCGTCTATAGCAAGTTACGTTCTGAATGTAGAACCACTAGTGAATAACCTTTATAGGAACAGCTCTCTCTGATCAGGCGTAAACAACTTTTGATCGGGGACCTAAACAGCTCCTGAACAGGTCTAAAACAGCTCTTGATCAGGTCTAAACAGCTTCTGAACAGGTCTGAACAGCTCCTGAACAGGTCGAAACAGCTTCCGCCGCCGCCGCCGCGATAGGACGATTAGAAATGTATGAAGCAATCAAATGTTTTCCTATATCGACCTCCTTGATTAATATCGCAGTCTTTAAATACAGTTAGGAAACTAAACGCTTCGTTCCAGCATAAAGCACACATTTCTTTAAAACGTTCAAAAGTCATATCGGTACCGATATGATCGTTGTATATGTGTTTCAAATTTAAATCGTCTTGTTTGAAAATTACGAGACAATTAGCATTGTCTCTTATAAGATGTTTAGGTATTTTAGCATACGTTTGACATAAATAAAACGAATCAATTTTATTATGTCGTCCCATACTAAAGTATTCGCGTATGACATCATGGTTGTCGCACGCTACATCGTCGAAAATGAAAATACTGTTCGGTTTAGCCTCCGACGAATGCATAATGCTTTCACCGGCGTTAAATGTAAAATATCGAATACCTTTTATTGATTTCAGCAGTTGATCCAGGTAAATATATTTTGGTTGGTTCAAAGATCGCGAATAAATGTATACGTTTTCAAATTTTACACCGTTCTCCTGTTCGATTAAATTAATCATCACGTTAGTTTTACCGCAATTCGAAGGACCCACGATAATACATCTTATTGTTGCGGGAAACAATTTACCATGCCTCTTGTAAGATTTTTCGTGAAACGTATTATTTTCAATATCTAATGTAGTACTTTGTTTAATAAGTTTCATAATGTGATTGTTTTCTAAAACACCGTACTATTCATAATGATATAAAATAGATGACTTACAAACTTTTTATATTAGTTTGTACTAACAAAACGAACACACACGATCGTCAGCATGAAATGTTACGCATCAGGTAACGGTTTATTAAATACGGTAATCAACAAATTGCCTTTTGAAATGCATATTCCGGGGTATAATTGGTGCGGCCCCGGTACAAAAGTTGAAAAACGTCTCGCTAAAAACGATTCCGGCATAAACGGTTTGGACAATGCATGCAAACAACACGATATCGCCTATTCAACGGAAAGTGATTTAAACAAACGTCACGAGGCAGATAAAGTATTAGCTTCTAAGGCTTTAGCGAGATTTAAAGCTACAAATTCCGGGTGGAAGGAGAAAATTGCCGCTTTAGGAGTAACGGCGGCAATGAAAACAAAATTAAAACTCGGAATGGGCATTCCAAATACAGACCGCGGCGGTGGTGGTTACTATTACCGTTCCAGGAGATTAATTCAAACTTGTTTAAAAAAACTACAAAAAACTAAAAAAAGTTTATACGAAATTGAGGATTCTTTAGCCAAGATGATAAATCAGAAAGAGAAAAAGAATATTTGCAGCCAAAAGAAGAAAAAGAAGACACAGCAGCGAAAAGAAAACAACAAATCGAAACCACAGACATATGAAGATAAGAAAGATTTTGATATCGCAGACGATTATCCATTAGATAGAGTTCGACCTAAAAGCATTCTAAATGATGATGAAGATAATGAAATTTCAAAAAAGAAACCTCGTATCGTATTAGTTCATAATCGGAAAAGAAAAGCTGCCACGATTGATAGAAATGAAATAAAAAGGACAAAAAGATTAAACGTAGAAGATA